GAGAGAGAGAGAGAGAGAGAGAGAGAGAGAGAGAGAGAGAGAGTCTTTTGATTGAAACATCTATATGTAACAGCTAAGCAAAGACACAAAAGCAAGAGACCAGTACACATGAAGACATTGGGAACAGGATCACAGAGGGAATGTCTCCTATAAGAGTTATAACAAAACAAGAACTCAGTGTGGCCTAGAAACAGAAAGGAAACACACTAAGCTCAAATGGGTTATGGGACAGTGAAACTATGTTTCCCTAAGGAGGCTCAAGGGAATCTAGGTGGCACAGGTTAGGAAAATCATGTCTGTCACTTATGCTGAACAAGGCAGGAAAACAATGATGAGAGGAAAGTTTTTGAGCAGCAGAACAATGATGGTTCATATTCTTAGAAAAAAAACTTTACAAAGCTTCTTTTGGGTACTGGTAAAGATAAGACTGAGGAAGCTGGAGAAAGCAGTGGGGAAGCTGTGGCTGTTATCCTGGAGACTTGGTGTAAACAGCAGAAATCGTGAGGAATATTCACATCTTTGATTTATTCTGAAGTGTAGTCAGTGAGAACTGGTGTAGCATTGAATGTGGAGTGTGAGAACAAGCAAAGAGTCATCAGCATGGCTGACTGGGTTTCTGCTTTAGAAACTGGAAGCACAGAGCTACTCTTTAGTGCAAGGGAGGAGTTCTCCATGGACTTGGTGTCTGGAGAAATTTTACATAGCCAATGATTTTGTTTCTATGATAACTAGAATTATTTATAGAGGAAGCAAGTGTGATCCAGAGAAGCCAGGATGATTTTTACATTGCCAAAGCAGAGACCTTGAAGGGACAAGGAGGCAAAAAGTTAGAGGCAGAATCGAAACGCAGAAAACACAAATAATTTAATAGCAGTAAGGGGAAGAACAAGGTGTGTGTGTGTGTCCAGATCCTGGAAGGTAGGTCATGGTGATGGACTTGGAGACATTCTTATTAATCTTCATCAAATTTGATCACAACATTGGAATAAAATTATAATTTAGAGGGGAAACAATAAACATTGTAGGACAATATGATATAACCATAGTGACTTGGATACAGAAAGCTGGCAGTATTGAAACTAAGGTCCATTGGGCTACAGTATTAGCAAACTGTTTTAAATGGCCTCCAGATTACATTGGAAGTTACATACATAGGATTCCAACTTGATATAAGGAGAAAACAAAAAAAGATATTTTTGAAAATACAATATAATTACAACATATCTTGCTTCCCTTTCATTCCTCCAAACCCTCCCAATATATCCTTTCTGATTCTCTCTCAAATTTATGAGCTTCTTCTTTTTTTTTTACTAATTCTAATTGCACAATATTTTGACACTACACATAGCCCAATTCTATGTAGTCTATTATTTTTCCAAAACAGATTTCTTTCTTATTCTTTTTTTTAAAGGAGCTCTGGTAAAGTTTTATTAAAGAAAAACTTTCCTGGTTTACTGTTGACCAGTCATGCTTCTAATAATATCAGAATCACCTGGGTCAATGACAGCCAGTGTGCATACCCTGTAGTATTTTCCACATGCTGTGCCCAATTTAATGTTATTGCCACTGTAGTGATGATCACCAGTTTTAGCCAACATGGCATAGAATTCTATTTCAGATTTCCTCAAAGCTGGACAGTTGTTGGTGAGGATAACCAATTTTGCTTTGCTCTGTCTGATCATCTTCAGAGTCTGTTTGTACCCCAGCACGTACTTTCCACTTTTCATAACAAGTAGGAGCCTCGAGTTGATCGACTCCAGAGACCTTTTGTCTTCTTTGTGGCCACCATCTTCCTGCCTTAGGTGCGGGACAGCCCCCAACCAGACCAGCCGCCAAGATGGCCGGGGAGAGAGAAAGGGCCCAACAAATTCCTAGAAAATTCTGAGACAAGTAATTCCCAGGCTCTCTAGTCTCTTCATCATTGCTCCTGTATTTTAGTAAGCTTAAGGACAGAGAAGTGTGAGGGGCAGTGAAGTATGGGGAATTGCTTGATTTGAAGTGGCTAAATCCACTATCAGTCTGCACCTTTAAGGTTGGAAAACACACATCTTTGATCTGGATCTTAGGGTGGGAAAACACACCTTTAATCTGGGGCATGCTTTCTGCTGGAAGTCTGTATGAGGACATAGAAGAAGGAAGCTTTTGCTCGTTGCCTGCTTTCCTTTGCCTTCCTAGCATATCTATTCCTTCACTGGCATTAGACCTACCTCTTTTGGATGCCAGCATATACTGAAGTCCAGACAAGGTTCAACCATGTGACCTGAACAACTACTGGGTTCTTGTACTTTATGTTCATGACCAGCCATTGTTGTGTTTGCTGGACTATAGCCTGTAAGTCTATATAAAGTCAAATGTATATGGAATATGTATATAGAGGAGAGGAGGAAGAAGAGGAAGAGAAAGAGAAGCATTGTAAGTTCTATCTCAAAGCAATCAGGAATAGGGCAACAAGGAAAAACACTGCACATATATTCACATATTCATGAGGCTTCACATGCACAATCATGCACAACACAGGCTCATCTCCATCCCCATACACACAAAGAGCAACTGCTCTCATTTGTATTTTTTTCATAATATGTATTTTTTTCTTTTTTATTAAGGATTTTTTAATTCATTTTACATAACAACCACAGATGCTTCTCTCCTTCCTCCTTCTGCCCCTCCCACCCCTCTACCTTCCCTCCAATCTACCCCCCATTCTCTCCTCCAACAAGGCAAGGTCTTGCATGGGGAGTGTGCAGAGCCTGGTATATTCAGTAGAGGCAGGTACAAAGCCCTCCCCCTGCATCAAGGCTGTGCAAGGTGTCCCACCATGGGTAGTGGACTCCAAAAAGCACCCCCATGCTCCAGGGATTAATCCTGATCCTACTGTCAGGGGGCCCCTTAAGCAGATCAAGTTTATGCAGAGGGCTTAGTGCAGCTCCATAGAGGCTCCACAGCTATTTGTCTAAAGTTCATGAATTCCCACTAGTTTGGTTTGGTTGTCTCTGCAGGTTTTCCCATCATAATCTTGATGCCCCTTGCTCATAGAATCCCTCTTCTCTCTCTTCAACTGGACTCCTGGAGTCCGGCCTCGAGCTTGGTTGCGGATCTCTGCATTTGCTTCCATCAGTAACTAGATGAAGGCTCTATGATGACAGTTAGGGTACTCACTGATCTGATTACTGGGGTAAGCTGATTCAGGCACTATCTCAGCTATTGCTAGTAGTCTAAGCTGGGATCATCCTTGTGGATTCCTGGAACCTCCCCAGGATCTGGCTAAGGCACGAGAAGACAGGTACTTAAAGGCTCTTTCAGCTGGAACCTTTAGGGGGAGGACTCAGAAGATTTCAGTCAGAGGATTTGTAGATTTGGTGAGGTGAGACTTGGCAGTGGCTGGTTCCTTTATCTCTCTAATATCTCAGCATTTACCCCAATATCTGGCTCTGGGCTTTTAAATTATAAGACCTTTAAAAATATGAACAATACCTGACATCAAACTTGTGAGGGATGAGTTCACAAAAAAAAAAAAAAAAAAAAAAAAAAGCTGCTTTTCTGTGGCCTTGCCTTCCTGGCTCAGGCCCAAGCTACAAGTGGCCAGAATCTCCACTCCACCTAGGCCAGACTCCCAAACCCACTGGCTAATTTTTTTTTGTTGCATCCTCTCTGCAGCAAACTCCACAGGTTTGGGCTCCAAAAACTGCAGAAGTTGGCCACTTTCATACAAATCCTCTGTGCAGACAGCTGGATCATTCAATTCTTTCCTCTCCTGGGGGGTTTGGCATTCTCTGTGCCCCATCCTCAGGCTGCTGCTGCACCACTATCTGAATCAGCAGCAGCAGCAGATTTGGTGAGTCAATTAAGATTTCTTAAAAGGAGGAATTAATTAAAAGAAAGCTTTTCCCCCACATCAAAAAAAAAATGGAAAATATTGTTACATTGGAAGGTGTTTGGTCTCTGTTTGACTATACATTAAACATAAAAATGGAAAAATTAAATGAGAAGAAAATTAATATTGATGGGATTTTTGTAATGTCAATTATTAATATTATTTGTTTGATCATTTCTATTTTATCATTTAAAAAAGTTGGTTAATATGAGTGCCAAGACAAAAGTTTTAGAAAAACCTGCTAAAACAGATCATAGAGACAATCGGACCCAGATAGAGAAATTTAAAGAACCAATCTCAATATTGCGTTATAAGATTACAAACAGCCTAAGGCTTTCAAACATCCAGCCTTTGTCTTTCCACTAACCCTACAGGAATTGCCAAATGATAGATGTCATCAAGGCTGTGTATGAACTCATTGGACTCCTGCATAAATGTTACATTTGAGGAGATTCAAAGAAGCAATAATCTCATATGTTATCCACTCATCTTTCATGAAGCAGATGCTAAACTTGTGGTCAACTTGTAATAGAATTATCCCTCAAGACTAGAAAGATGTGGTTACATCAGTCTTAGAGGCTGGTCCCAAATTGCAATGGAGGACCTGGTGGAAGGAGAAGGCAAGACCATTGAACAAGGAAGTAGAGTTAGAGGTATGGAAATTTCCCAGGATCAACTTCTTGGAGAAGGCAATTATGCTGATATACAAAGATAATCTTTATATGATGAACATACCCTATCTTTATGCTGCATGGCAGCCTTGAATGGTTGGGACAAAATTAAAGAAGCAGAAAAGAAAACTGATCATTTATAAGAGTAATACAGGTTGCAAAAGAAACTTTCATGGATTTCTTACAAAGGCTGTCTTCAGCAGTAAATAGAATGATACCAAATTCAAAAGCTAAGCAGATAATAATTGAATCTCTGGCTTTTGAAAATGATAATGCACAATGCAAAAGAGTAATTAGGTTGTTAAAGGGAAGATCAGCAAACTTTGAAGTCTCCAAAAAGATGATGGGACCCCACAATGATGATTCCACATGGACTACAATAATGCCATTAGGCTGATAAACATCACCCAAAGTCAGACTACTTACTGTTCAGGACAATTTACAGGTGGCTAGCTGAGATTATCTGGCCTCACAGACTACTCTAGCCAGGACTTGAGACAAGCACTGCACTTTCCCATTATGCAGAGACTAGACAGCAAATGATACAGCTATCTCTCCCAGGACTTGACAATTAACAACAAAAAAAAAAATACTTTTCCTGATCTCCTAAAGATGCCTTTGCTCCCAGACAGCCGGAAGTAATTTTAAGAACATGATACCCACATTTCCAAGAGGTGGGGTGGGAGGTTTTTGGTCATTCATTGAGTTATGGATATTTTTCATTGTTTTGGTGGTTGATTACAAGTTGTTAATAGTAAGGGTCAGAAAAAAAGTTAAACAAAAGAGATTAGATTTAGGGTTCCTGTTTGGAAAAAAGAGGATATAGATAAGAGGTGGATTGTTCAATCTACTCTGAAATAAAAGATAAACGATAGAATCAATGGGTAGATTATTGAATCTACTCTGAAAAGAAAAAATGGATAATATGGATATGATAAAATAAAAAAATAGATTACTGAATCTACTTTTAAAAAGCAACAACTAGTTTTAAATATTTTACATTGGATTGGATTTTTGTATATTGTATACATATTTTGTATAAAAATACAAAGTTGAGATGATTTTTGCTGGAACATACTGTACCTATGTTTCTAATATTGTTCAAGGTATTGTACCTACACAACTCACTTAACAATATAATGCAATTTTCTAGTCCTTGAAAGTTATTACCAACTAGTTATGTTATAAAGAAATATAAGTCAGTAGTTAGTCACCTATTACAATCGACTTTGTAGTCATATTAGGTATGTTTTCAAGGTCAAATAGTATTATATTTTAGATAGACAGGTCATCTTCAAACACTTCAGAGATGTAGAGAAGATGGAATTTAGAATGTTTGAATAACATTCATTCTTTTTTTTTTTTTATGGCTATGAGACATGTGTGCTCCTGGCAGCACCAAACTACTTCAGAGAAGATGATAGGCATTGAAGAAACTCCATATGGAGTTTACTCTCTTTGTGGCAAAAGTTAGCCACTGGGCAAGAAAGTACCCTTGCCTTGACTGCTGACAGTATGCTGTCCAAAATGGACAAGCAGGACATAAAAGAAAGGACTGCAAAACCTTGCCAAGACAAAATAGGACAGCCCTTCAGAAAATCCTGCCTCACAGAAAAGTCTGTCAGATATGCTAGGCCTGTAAGCCAAAGAAGGTTACCCAAATATTGCAGAGGAAACTTGGGTGACCGTCCAGGCAGCCAGCTGTTTCTGTCATTTCTCACATTTTTTGGAAGTCACTTGTTTGTAATTCCTGCTTTCTCAGTAAATAGTATTTCCTTCTCTGGTCTATGAGGGAGTTGAAGACTAGATAGTTAACAAATTCAGAAAATAAATGTGGAACAAGGATGACTGGACTGCTACTCACATCACCAGGGAGGCTACCTGGAAAACAGGACCCCAAGAAAGACATGGGGATCGCCCAATGACAGAGAAATGGCTGAGATCTACATGAACAGCCTGGACATGAGTGGGAGTAATGAAGGGCAAGGGTCAAGGGAAAGAGAGCCTGTGGGAGCAGGAGATCCCAGCTGGATCAAGACCAGAGAGGGAGAACAAGGAATAGGAGACTATGGTAAATGAAGACCACATGAGAAAAGGAAGAAACAAAGTGGTAGAGAGGCCTACAGAAATCCACAATGATACCCCCACAATAGACTGCTGGCAATGGTCGAGAGACAGCCCGAACTGACCTACTCTGGTGATGGGATGGCCAGACACCCTAATAGTTGTGCTAGAAACCCCATCCAACAACTGAGAGACCTGGATGCAGAGATCCATGGCTAGGCCCTGGGTGGAGCTCCGGGAGTCTAACTAGCAAGAAAAAGGAAGGTTTATATGAGTGAGAATTGTTGAAACCAATGTTGGATAAAGTACAGGGACAAATAGCCAAACGAATGGAAACACATGAACTATGAAAAAATGGCTGAGGGGCCCCCAACTGGATCAGGCCCTCTGAATAGGTGAGACAGTTGATTGGCTTGAGCTGTTTGGGAAGCATCCAGGCAGTGGTACGGGGCCCTGTGCTCATTGCATGAGTTGGCTGTTTGAAACCTGGGGCTTATGCAGGATCGCTTGGCTCAGTCTGGGAGGAGGGGACTGAACCTGCCTGGACTGAGTCTACCAAGTTGATCTCAGTCCTTCAGGAAGGCTTTGCCCTGGCGGAGGTAGGAATGGGGAGTGGGCTG